TCAGACAGATTTATTTATTAACTGCCTTTACAAGCCTTAAAGGTTTCCCGACGAAACTCATTTAATTTTTTAGTTTTCTGCGATTTCTGTTTAATTGTTCACACTACTTCTACCTTTACTTTTTCTTTCTCATTTTATTTCATTTCTCATAATCTTTTCTATCTTTTCAGTGTCTTTCACAAAATTTTATGACCCTCCTACTTCGTCTTACGGCACTTTCCTCCGTCAACCGGAGCCGTTATTTCTTTTATATTCAACTACTACTTACACTTCTTTTCTTCCTTTTATCGTAAACCAGGTTTAGTGTGTTAGGTAAGGTGGTCTGTGGGTGAAGAGACATAGGCAGAGTAACGTCCATGACTTTCCTGGGAGAGGAGCTGAGACCTAAGCAGAAGGAGGGGGTAGGGTTGGAGGGGCCGCATGTTGGGACCGTTAGGGCCGACCTGGGTGTGAGGTTGTCTCCTCAAGGTGACAGCTCCGTGCGGTCGGTACTCCGTCAGTCAGGCTTGAGGGTCAGTTGAGGTTCTAGATGTGCTGGGTAGTCTGCGTGTCGACGTCGGGCTCGTGGATTTCATAAGGCGTGTTTGTCGCTCCATTTGTTGGCTACAGGATTGCCCTGGTTCCGTCCGCAAACCCTCTGTGTGGGAGTCATTACGAAGGAGTTGCCTGAGTGTCCCCGTGTCCGTTCGGCGTGTCTTACGACCGGCGAGTGTTATTTGCTCTCCCTCTCCGTTTCCTCCAAAAGGGCTCCGCGTCTCCTGCTCTTCGTTCTGGAAGTTTGTGCTTTTCTACAAAGATCACACCGTTCACAACTTGAACCTAGGCCCTGACGGGTGTCTTGGTGACCGTCGCCTCCGTCTCCCCCTGTTCGTTCCTGCCTCCGGTAGTGTTAGTCTGACTGGATGTGGTCTACCCCCTCCTTCCACCGGTTAGCTCGCTCTGCCTTTAAGTCGGACGTCGTAGGCTTTGTCCCTTCACTAGTGTGTGTGTAGGTACGGTTCGATAACTCTATCTATCTCACCACGTGGATGTGGTGACATCGTGTATACATTTAATACTTGCTCGGAGTAAATTTCTTTAAAGGTTGTGAGTGTGAGGCTGTTAATACCCGTGAGCTAAATGAAAAGACCAA